GGTTCCCATGGAGGCCACAAGCTGTTGTCAGGCGGATTCGAAATTCCCACTAGGACTGGGACGGTGAAGAAGCCCTTCTGCTGAGCTCAGAGATGACATAACTTTCTATATTTAAATTCAGCCCCGAGATCAGCTCCGGTTTCCTGAGTGCCTCTTTAGACTGTTTTCAATTCATCTCTGCAAACGTGATGCAAATCCTGGCCTGGCTCCCCTCACAGGCTCCTCACAGTCACCCTGCCTCTAGGCCTGCCCCCAACCTCGGCCACTGTGCAGTCAGTCTAGGTCCATTAAAAATATAAATGCCTAATAGCGTCCCTGAAGCTCTTAGTGTCAAGTCCAAATCCTCATGTGGCTTTCAAGGCCCTGTAGAAAGGGATCCCGATTTCTTTTCTAGCCTCATTTCTGTAGCTAGTCAACCACCTGCCCCCAATCCACACGGGACCCCACCATAATGACACTGTCATGGTTCCCTCAAGGGAACATGCTTCCTTTCATCTCATCAGCCCCCTTTTCCTTGGGATGAATGAGCTGCCCTACCTTCTCCTTGACTCTTCCTCTGGTTGATTCCTTTCAGCCTTAAGATTTCAACTGAATCATCACTTCCTCTAGGAAGAATCACCATTTCTTCTAGAAGACCACGGGAGATGAGGGAGCCCTGCTCTGTGTCCTGCAGCACCCCAAGTGCCCCTATTCTGATGAAAAGAGATTGCATTTCAACTTGTCCAATTTCTTTGAAAGTAGCATGAAAATGGGGACTTTTTCTCTTTTGCCCCTTATCACATCCTCAGTACTCAGTGCAATGCATGACACAGAGTAAGGCAGACTCAACCACCATGTACTGAGTGTCTGGACTACCTACTTCATTTTTCCTGGCAGGAGAATGTGACATCAGGGACAGTTAAATGACCAGAGTGATCCTTACTGCCTAGAATCAACGCCAAGTGGCAGCATCTCTGTCACATTCTCAGGCCGGCTGCGGCACTAGCCTACACTTCTCTATTCCCAGCGGGGGGTTTCTGTTCCTTATCTTTTATGGGTTATACTTTATAGAGTCTCAATAAACATTTATTGCCATGTAACATATACTCCTTCATCTCAGTACTGTGTGTTCTGATCCACTTTACCTCTCATCCTGGGGGAGTCATGGGGCTCTGAATGGTGGCTGGTGCCGGTCCTGGTAAAACCCTGGTACTGACTGAGGGTCCTAAAACATCCCCCAGTTCCAGAAGCAGAAGGAAAGCTAGTCTGATGAGACCCAAGGACAAAGAGTAGCATCGAGGACAGAGCTGGGGCTCAGGCTCCCTCCTGCTCCTGATGGTGCTCCCACGGCCTCTGGACCATCTGTGAAAGGGCAAACACGTCGTCTGGGAACTATGATCATTTATTACAGGCGCCAGGTCCTTGCTGATGGGACTGGGCTGCAATATACTTCTGCCAACACGAACTCTTGTGAATCTGACATAATATCAAATCGCCACGCTTCATGGTCTCATCTGACCCCACGGACACAGAAAAGGCCCTGACTGTAAAGGATGGAAAGGTATCTTCATTGATAGTTAACTCATTTACTCTTTTAACTGACCACTGACTGATGGTCCTCAAAAGCTTTGTCTGTGAGGTTAAAATGTCCCCTTAAAACTTCCATAACGAAGTGGTCATGGATTTAGGGGCAATATCGAAATCACCCAATAAGAAACCCAACCAGAGGGAAACACTCCCCCTTGGAAGGAAGCCACATTGAATGCCATGGGAGTTAGAACTGTCCCGGGCTTCTGAGGTCTGGAGCAGTCAGTGGATGCCTTTTGATCAAGTCATATTTGATTCATTACTTTAGGTAAAAGAGAATGCCAACCTAGAAGTTCATAAAAGACAGAAACTAGGGAACTAATGCCAAAACCCAGCACCAACAGTGTTTTCCCTCCGTCACCTTCTCCCACTTTTTAACTTCAAACAGAAGTGGGTGAGATCCAGACAGGAGATATGGGTGCCACTGTCTTTGGCTCTCTGGGCCTCAGTATACCCATATGGAGAATGGGGAGAAGGACACTACAGTTTCTGATGAGAAGGCTTTAGGTTTTTTTCTTTTGCTTCAGGAACAGGCGGCAGCGAGCAGCTCTTGGGATTTGAGGACTCAGGCTGGTGTAGGAATTCAAGGACACTAGAGGAACAGCAGGCTATGCAAGGAGGGCCTTCGAGGGCTCTGCCCTTCTGGAAGTCACTGCTCTTCAAAAGATTCAGGAGTCACTGCAAAGGACTCTTCCACATCCTGACCTGCCTCTTACACAAGCCATTTAACAGTATCTGTAAATAGGCAGCCTCTCTAACACAAAAAGCCAACTTTCCAGCCCAGACTGAGGGGGCCCTGACCAGTGAGACTTTCCAAAGACATTCCCTGGGCAACTGACAGTATTTGAAGCCACATCTGATGGGTTCCACGTCAGATGGGTTCCACGTCTGATGGGTTCCACATCTGATGGGTTACCCTTGCTCCTTGTAGCTCAGGGGCCATAGGATGCTGGCATTCTAAGCTCCTTCTGTGAACAAGGGACAGGCAAGCGAGCAGGGTTTTGCTGGGGCTTGATGCGTGACATGCCGCTTGCCCAAACAGCCCTCATCACTCACTGACATTTCATGGCTCGTCCCCAATCACAGGCTGGAGGATCAGACAGTTTACTCTGGAGCTGGAGGGAATAATTTGAGCAGCACATGCTGGATCTTCACAGAGAGAACCACTGCAAGGCGCCTCTGACTCTCTGCCCGAACCCCAGGCTGGGTGTTTAGCTAAGCAACTTGGCTCCTTGATGGGGATGGCTTATTTTTCTCAATCGCTAAGCCCTCATCAGTCCGTTCACTCAAATCCCTAATGGGTTGCACAGACCAGAATCTTGCTTTTCCTTCTCAGCTAGTGTCCTGGTGGTCCAGTCTTGTCCATGATCTAATTAAGCACCCACTGTGTGCTATGTCTTGTGAAGCACCCACTGTGTGTTGCGTCCTGTGTCTAGTTAAGGTGGTAACTGACATGGTGTCTCCCTCTAGGATCTTGCGTTCTTAAGGCAGACATGGGCAAGAAGTAACAAATGTTTCATGAGCCTGGCATTCCTCAACTGTCTGCTCACCTTCAGCTTTGGCTAAATGTCTCCTCCCTGTCCACCTTACCTCATGTGCCTCTCTAGAGCCTCACCGCTAGTCACGTAGGTATCTTTCAGTTCTTCAAGCACATCATCCTGCCTGAGAACTTTGACTCATGCTATTTCTCTCTCTGGAACATTCTAGGTCCCCCTTCCCCCCCTTCACCTCTATTTTAAGGTCACCCACTCAGAGAGCCCTTCCCTCGCCATCCCCTATAACACAGGCCTCTCTTGCTCTCACTCTCAGCGCCAAGCTCATTTCCTTTTCAATACTAACCCAAATTTGAAATTACTCATTTGCTTGTTTTCTGACTTTTTCTGACTTATCTTTTGTGTCTCCTCTACCAGACTATAACCTCCGATGGTGTCTGTCTCGTTCCCACTGCCCCTCACCATGGTCTGCACAGTGCCCGGAACAACTCACTACTGAACAAATGAAGGGAGGGTTTTTCTATGGTAAGTCATTATGGAATAGAAAGGCCAAAGGCTAGAGAGCTTTGTTAGTAACGACGAAGGGTCTGCTTAGTTCTAGCAGCAAGAGGAAAACCATCCAAGCATGGTAAGCGGGGGAGACACATGACAGACATTTAGTACAGAATTACACAGCCCCTTCGATCATGTGGAATGGACTTTGGGGGCAGGGGAAGGGCAAACTAGAGGTAAACAGATTTATTAGGAGGCACCTGTGAAAACTGAAGACCTCCCTACGCAGTGTAGTTCCTGGATCAGCAGCAGGGACCTCGCCTGGTGTGTGTTAGAAATGCAGGCTCTCAGGCCGCATGCCAGCCCTACTGCATCATCACTGCGCTTCAGCAGCACCCCGGGAGGCTGTGCACACCTGAAAGCTGGGCTGCAGGTGAGAGACCATGGTGGCCGGATCTGTCTTTGGAGTGGGGGACAGAACTGATTCATCAATGCCCCCGTAAATCCAGTCAGTGCCCCTCGTAAATCAAATATTCCAAAGCACCAGGTTGGGGCTGACTTATGTTTGTTGACTACAAGAACAAATAAGCAAACTTTTGTCCATTCTGTAGTTTCCTTTTCTTTAACTCAGTATCCCAGTGAGACTACCCATTCCCCACACAAATGGGCAACTTTACCCCAAGGAGAGAGTCCGAAGTTCTGAGAAGGAAATGTTGCTTCCTTCCTTTCTTATGATAACATCCCTTCCCCCGCTGCTCGGAGGGCCTATTGCAGGAGCCCAAATGAAATGCCCCTCATCTGTGAGACTTTCCCTGTCCTTCCCAGGAGAACAAATAGATCCACTGGATCCCTGTTTCCCTTTTCTATGAAACACCTTTTGTTTCCATAGGTCTGCGTTATAATGGCCCGTCCACACTTGCCCTCCCCATTACACTGCAAGCCCCTGAGGTTCTGAGAACGGAACAATGGCCGGAGCCCCAGGGCCTGGTGCAGGGCTGGATGACATCTAGATGTGCCAGAGACACAGCAGAAGCATGTGTTGATGTCACACTCCTCCCGTCACTGTGCTGTCCTCTGGGCAGCATCCCGGACTGCCCTCATGTCTTTGTTCTTATTAGCCGAGCTGAGCTGCATGGCTTGCATCTGTGGCACAGCTTGCTCTCTCTCACCGTTCCCAGGAAGCTCCCCTGGGTTCACCTCAGGATCACATCCACTCTCAGAATCCCCTTCCCCTTGGCCCTTGACCCCATCTCCCTCACACCAGGACACAGGAGGTAATATTCCTATCTCACTTGTCTCTTTGACAGTCTGTTCACGTGGAAGCTTCTCAAGGACAAGGCCTCACGTCGCAAGGAGCTTCACAGGGCGAAGCCAGTCTGGGCGTGGAGACCCGTCAGAACCAGCAGACATGGAGTATTTCTCACAACAAAGGAGACAAAGGTGACTGACCTTGGATGTGTAGGTGTGGCCATCAGAGCCGCAGACCATGGCTGACTGTGCGGTTGGGCAGGGTTTGCACTTGACCAGATTCGAAGGTCCCGCCCAGTGTTTGTGGGCCACAGTCCCCTTCTTTTGCCTGAGGATGGAAAAAAAAGGAGATAAGTAAATGAAAGCTCCCATACTCATGGTTCTTTCCTCCAAGTACCTGGATAAAGACCAAATAACTAAAAGGGCTGGCCAAGAAGTCAGCACTTCCATTTGTCCCAACTCACTGGTGGGGGCAGGAGACTGACTGCTCCAAAAGCTTAGGTCCAACCCACCAGATGGACCGGGAAGGCGATGTGGTCATTAAAATGTTGTAAAACATCACTTCCTGATGTGAAAAGCCACTGGCAACACATCGCAAAGAACAAGGAAGGAGTGTGGGTCCATCCGCTCACCAGCCCCCAGCGCAGGGCATATCACAGGTGCCTGGAAACAGCACCCAAAGCCTCGGACTCCTCCGGGGCTGACCAGCAGCTTTCCAGCGGGATGACACACAGGTGGCTCAGCAAGCATCTCCACTAGAACTGCATCCCCAAACGCAGCCAATGACTTCATCACAGCTGTGGAAAACCATCTCTGGATACATTTTGAAGCAATTTTAGTCCAGCTTCCAATGTGCCATTTGATAGAGGCTCTGAGATGATGTCACTTTCAAGTACAAAAATAACCACAATTCTAGTCTTTCATGCCAGTTCCAGCCTCCCATCGTCACCTTTGTCATAACGATGCATGGTGCTGGTAGGATGGCTTGTGTCCACGGAAGGAGCCCCATCCCTTCTCACAAACCATTGGAAGAAAGGCTGCGGAGACCGCCACCCTGATTCTCTTACTTGAAACTGCTAGGAGGGACTCTCATCACCGTGGGCCTGTGTTTTGGGTACAGGACAAGTGTCTGTGGACTGTCAGGCTATGACTATGCCCTTGAAGTGCTTTACACAGATAGTCCTGAATGACTGTTAATGCTTAGGCTCTGGAGTTGGAAAACACCTCTCTGTCTGAAATAAATACATCTATTATTTGCATTTCTAAATGGATATGAGGTTTCCTATTATCCTTTGCCAAACACTATGTAGACTTCCAGGTTTGTTCTGGACTACTGAAGAAGTCAGGGTGGGTGATGGGACTCTGAGCAGCAGCCAAGTAGGCTGTCAGCATAGGTTAATCTTAGAGGACACGATTCCCTCGGCAGAACACCACACATTTGTCATCATTCTCACAGCAGATTGTCTGACATGGATAATGAATCAGAAATAGAGGCAGAAGCTGTGGCGTCTAGCAGCTCTCTCCTGGGTCGGTCCACAGCTACAAGTCCACAGCTGAAATGATTCTTGTTATGAACTCCCAGGAAGGGGCTATGAAGTTCAAAGAGGGGGCAGCTTTGCTGGAGCAGACACAGGCACGTGCAATGATGCCCCAGAGGAAAGACTCCTGAAGGAGCTTAGCCAAAGGAGTAGAGAGAGAAGTGGACACTGAGCCAATAGCTTGGAGGAAAGATGGAACCAGCTATTAATCACCAGTTAATGACAGGTCATCCCTGCTTGAACCTGAACCTCACCATTAAGTTTACTGGCCAAGGCTTACTAGTGGGCCTGGTACATCCTGGATACTCAATATATCCCTGTTGGTGAGTGGGTGTGTCCCTGTGTGCTGACCCAGTGTGGCTACTTAGCAGTTAATGACCAAATCACAGCCTGTTGGGACCAGAAAATACCTTAAAACCAATCCAGTGCAGCAACTGTATTTTATACCTAAAGAATCAGACATAGCTGGGGAATGACCTGCCTGGTATCACACAGAAATATGGCAAAGTTACTTTCTAGGCATTTGTCAGACTGGGGTATCCTGGAAATGACTGTGCTCCTTTGGGACCGTTTTTTCTTTTTTTCTTAATAGTTTAAAAAATGATTTTTGAGAGAGAGAGAGAGAGAGAGAGAGAGAGAGAGAGAGAGAGAGAGAGAGAGAGAGAGAGGGAAAAGAAGAAGAAGAAGAAGAAGAAGAAGAAGAAGAAGAAGAAGAAGAAGAAGAAGAAGAGGAGGAGGAGGAGGAGGAGGAGGAGGAGGAGGAGGAGGAGGAGGAGGAGGAGGAGGAGGAGGGGGAGGAGGAGGGAAGGGGAGGGGAGAGGGGAGGGGAGGGGAGAGGAGAGAGAGTAAGAGTGAAAGAGTAAAACATCCATCAGCTGCCTCCTACATGTTTCCCACCGAGGATCAAGCCCACAACCTGGGCATGTGCCCTGACCAGGAATTGAACCAACAATCTTTCAGTGCACAGAACAAAGTCCAACCAACTGAGCCACGCTGGTCAAGGCCCTCTGAGACTGTTAACTCCCTATTTTGGCATCTGTACTTGCATCACCAGGGCTCCATTTTGTAAGTAAGCTTTTTGAAATACTGTCCTGGCATTAAACCAGCAAAACAATAAGTTCCCATATCCAAGGTCAAGTGTTTGTGAACTATGCCAGAGGAATCATGCTTGACAACCTCCTATGATGCCTTGAGGACTAGAAGTACAAAGGCCAAGCTATTTGGAATTTGCCCAGATTTAATGAAACAAGCATAACTGCTCTAACAGGGCAAACCTGGGTGTTCCTTACCTCACTAGAACTCTAGTAGAGATGGCAACCAAATCTGTGGTCTCTGTCCAGAGGCCAAATTATGTAACATTATAATCAAGTACACGTGAGACCATGGAGTACAATTTCCCTGGTTATTATGTATATATTCCAATCTCCACAATTCAGTGTGAACCATAAAAAATAACCAATCCAGTTGAGGCAAGGGACTCAGCCTTCTGACTCTAAGATATTTCACTTCTTGAGTCAATGAAGAGTGAAATCCGATAAAAGTATCTTGATGGGATTGCTATTCCCAATGTCACAGACATTCATCAGTGGGAGTGACACAAACAATTTGGTCTGGAAGGAAGGTTCCACCATCCTTTCCATCAGCCATGGAGCCCTAACTCCACCCCAGCCTGGCTGGTGCCAGGAGCAGCCACACCTCCCACCTTGCTGACAGCACTGCACAGGAAATCCCCACCTACCCAATCCCCAAGATGGAGAGAAGACAATCAGCGATCAACGGCATTTCTTATTCTCTTTGGTTCAGCTGCTTATTCTCAATCATTTTTTTAAAAGTCTACCAAAATAACCAGCATTTATGATTGTGAAGCAGTGATGATTCTTAAATACAAATCTGCTAATGTGACTCCCATGCTCAAAACTTTCATCTTCTCTGCAGCTTCTGGGACATAGGTTAAGCTCCTAATTTTAGTATTAAACTGTCTGAGTCTACTTTTGTAGGGTCATTGAATGCTCTGCCTTATTCTCCAACACACACACACACACACACACGCACACACACACACACACACACGCACACTTGAGATAAGTGTGCGTGTGTGTGTGTGTGTGTGTGTGTGTGTGTGTGTGTGTACTTCACTCTTCAATAAAGAGTGAAGTATGTCTCTTACACGTGCCATGCAAATCCAAGTCTATATAACTTGGCAAATGTTCTCTATCTTCATAGCAAAGCCTATCCCTTGTTCTAGTTTCAAATTGACTGTCTTCCATGCAATCTCTCCTGCTCCTGTGAGCCCTATCCCAAGTAGAATTAACCATGACATTATTTGTTCAACAGTGCACCATGCTCAGACCCAACTGTGACATTCACTGCAGCACAAGGCAGTTCTTTTCATGTCTAGTTTCATCAATACACTGTGCACTTCTCAAGGGTAGCAGCTGGGCTGTAATCATTTTTGTGCTCCTGGTACTTAGAAACAAGATTGACCCTTGAGACACATGGCTTTGCTCAGTGAAATAAGTGAATTTATTCACTTGGACTTTAGAACTTCTCCTTTCATTTCTGCAAATCATTAGCACTGGCTAGAGGGCAAAAATAGAATGTTAAGTAACAAGAATTCAACAGGCTCTTATTTCCAGAAATCCTAACTCAGACTTAAAACAACAGTTAGCAAAGTATCTACAGACAACTGAGGAGTGGTGGAGGGGCTCCCCCATGCATCCCAGAGCTGATGGAGCCTTTCCTACTCCGCAGACATCAGGCTGCCTCCAGAGCTGCAGGTTCCAAATTGCCAACAGGTACTAATGTTTTTGTATTAAAAAATAAGAAATCTGAATTCCTAGGAATTTCACAGAAATACTGAAATAATACGTTTTTTTCTGCATTCTTTACAATCTTTTATTTATGTCTTTATAATAAATATTAAATTTAGAAGTATTTATAAAGAAATGTAGCCTGGAGTGAGAAGTCAAACCCTGGACATTGTCAGCAAGCATTACTGGATCGTACTCAAATAATATGACATTTGGATTTTTCTAGCAAGTTAACAGCATTGCACAGAATCACATGTTGATATTGTCAATTTAAAGACTTACTTTATTCTAACACTGTTCTCTGGAACACCACACAGAGGATTCCTACAAAGTATAGTATGCAAATAAATGCATTAATATTCATTTTAGTTACAGGAGCAATTAATTCATCACTGGCAGCAGACTGGACCACACACATGCTAATAAGATGGCAACAGCAACAAGCAAGACTGACCAGATCATGACTGCTCTTCCCAAGGTGCCTCCTACATACCAGATAATGACTGCTCTGTCCTTGTTCCTGGACTTGTCAGCATTAACCTTCAAGCCCACACAGCATTGTTTCCTGTTCTTGTCTCCACTGGACCCTGCCACTCCTCACTCAGAGCTCCTACTCTCACCCACCAGGGCAAGTCCCACAGCTACCTCTCCCATCAAGAGAGTCTTTGATGACATCAGTTGTGACTCAGTATTTTGCTTGGCCGTGGGCAGAGTAGGACCACAGTCAGGGCCCACAACAAAACAGTGGCAGGACAGAGATATCAGAGCAATTTTTCTAGTAACGAATACATATGCAGGTGTAAATTTCCTGACATTTATCTCACAGGCTGAAATTAACCTGTGTCAACAATATTTAATGATGTGGTGGTGCTGAAGCTGCAAAGAGTATATAGAGTAGAATTATTGACTTTCCCCTTCATTTATTGAAAAAGGACGTTTCATTTTACTCAATACATTGGACATTCTAACATGTTTGGGTA